AATTGCGAAGATGTAAAATGCAATGCCAAATGCAATACACATAACTCTAGTCCTATGTATATATATATATATATATATATATATATATATATATATATATATATATATATATATATATATATATATATATATGTATATATATATATATATATATATATATATATATATACATATATATATATATATATATACATATATATATATATATATATATATATATATATATATATATATATATATATATATATATATATATATATATATATATATATATTAATATATATTAATATATATATATATATATATATATATATATATATATATATATATATATATATATATATATATATATTATATATTAATATATATTAATATATATATATATATATATATATATATATATATATATATATATATATATATATATATATATATATATATATATATATATATATATATATATGTATATATATATATATATATATATATATATATATATATATATATATATATATATATATATATATATATATATATATATATATATATATATATATATTCATTTATTTATATAAAATGAATAAACACAACTTTTGATGGAACTCTGAGTTTCATGTCTTTTGGCATTCATCAGCCATTGTGTATAATTCATAACGTAAAAACCGTGTAAAAAATACAAGTTAAAATTAAAAACGATTTCTTATGTTACAAAAACAAAGCAAAACAAAAAGACATCAAAGATTTTAGCCCCCAGTGTCGAATAAAGAAAGTAAAAATTTCTTCGAATGGCGGCACTTTGATATTATTTCATATCTTTTATTAAATAAATTTTCTCCTCTGTATGATAATATATCTTCTCGCGAAGACAAAGATTACAAACTTTTGATGCTTGATTGTAGGGCTTACATCATGCAATTATCTTCCATGTAAACACAAGTTTTGTATTTTTAGATTTTAGTTTCCATATTTCTTTAGAAAGTTCAGTGTCATTTTTATGTTTGGGTGCATTGAAAGATTTAAGATGGTTTGCATATCTTAACTTAAAAGAAGTTTCACTTATATATTAAAAGATAATTTATTTTTGAATTCAGGATCTCTAGAACTTATAGTGGCTTGGTATGCAATATTGCTAGGAAGGCATTGGTTATTAACTAGAACAACTTTTTTGTTTATGCAGTTGAATTGTTTTGATATCATACTTTTATAGCGTTGTAAAATCTTGTTGTTATGTGTATTTATTAAAGACTTGACATTAAGCATGTAACTATAGCTAACTTAAGCATGTAACTATAGCTAACTTTAACTGTAGTTTTCGATTAAAAAAAGTGTAGGTCAATTAAAGCTAAAAAGCAATTTCCAATTTTAGCTTCAACATTTTTTGCTAAACAAGGGGTTGTTTCAATATAAATAAATAAACAAATAAACAAACTTTTAACATTTCTGCATTGGGTCAGGGCATTGAACAATGCCCTGACCCAATGCAGAAATGTGGTGGGCCATTTTAAACACAGTTCAGCAAGTGCTGCAGATTTAGAACAAAAATAAATTGAATTTGGATAAAAGAAGGAGTTGCTTATATAAGACATTCTAACCCAATGGAATTTAACTTTGGACATAATAATAAGTGTTTGCAGAAACAAACAGCCACTGAGGGATGTCCTCATCACACGCAACACAAAGATTGTGATGTCAATATCAGCTGAATATGGAAAATTGCAGAGGTTGGAAAAAGTACTGTAGTCTTGCAGGTATATTTTACGTCATATATTTATCACTGACTTGTTTGATTGCATAGAATTAATGTATCTGTATGTGTGTGTAAGCATGAATATTAGAACATTATTTGTGTGTATAATGTGAGTTTTTTGTGAGTATAAGTGAGTCTGATACTGAAACAAAGAAGGCTCAATTGAGAACAGTGTGCGTTGGTGCAGAGGAAAGCCTGCCATTATAGAGGCTTGTCTATTACAGTGGTAGTCCAAACATGCAAGCTCACACAGCAGTCTAGCCTCAATTGCATAGAAGTACTTGGCAACACCTGCAACATCCGTACTTTTCTCATGCTGGTCATATTTTACAAAAAAAGAAAGTTTTTATTATCTAAAAAATGTGAATGTCCTCTTTTGTCTTAGCAACAAACTTGGTGCAGATGAGTAAGTAAATGTAAAGTTAGTAGAATGGATAAAAGTTTAAAATTTTGAAAAACCATGTTATTGCACTTTTGTTCATACAGAACAAATTTACATAATACACTACTTTTGAATTTATTTTTGAATTTTTTGCATTTTTGCGGTTAATCTAGATTAATTGCAAAAAGTCATGCAATTAATTGTGATTACAACATTTAATTGTTGCTCAGAGGGGGTTATTCAACGGAAGGGGGGGGGGGGTTAATAAACAAGGGGTGAGATTTTTTCTGAAATTTAATAAACAAGGGGAGGGGGGTTGAATTTATAGTAGGTGGAGGATTTTATCTAAAAAATAAATGTGCGGGTTTTTTTGTTTAAAAAAAAAGGAACCTCTGTTCAAGTAAACAGAGAGAGAATGTAATCTAGTTCTAGTCTTTTTTACGGCACGGCAAGATGTTATATAGCTCCGTTTCAATCTTGTAAGATGTGGAATAAATTGGGTAGATGTTTCTGCATTACATAAAAGCTACATAAAAGAAATGCCTTGACATAACTCACCTAATAAAATGTTGGATGAACTATCGGTATTTAAATTAACTTGATTGTTTTCATCTTGATTTTCTAAAGCACTTGTTTCCAAATTTGTACAGTTTTCCTCGTTTGTCTGATGTTCTTCATCAAGTTGATTTATAAATAATGTTTCACCTTCACAATCAAATAATTCATATCCTTCATCTAGCGGCTCTGTTTCACAAGTGTTTTGTCCTTGCTTTTGTTTCACTCCTTTTGGAGGTGTAATTACCCCTTGAGATCTTTCAAGTTTCTTGGGCTTGGGGTAAGCATAAGTTTTTTCCGAAATGCTTGAAGCTTTTTTCCCACTAAGGTAAATATTCTTTCCGAAACTAGATAATCCTTGCTTCCCTCTAAAGCATTGGTTACTCACAGTGCCTTAAATCGACTAGTAACATCAATCTCCAACGAATTCCAACTTTTTAGTAGCATTTGCATCATATGATCCCTGGATGGCTGTGGAATTTTTTTGGGGTCAAGCCTTAATTGCTCTATTGTAAGGTTTTGCTCTAACTCTCGGTATTTAGCTTTTAAAGGCCTGTGGAAATCTGTATCATTAATTTGAATGTCCTCTGTAACACCACCACCTATTCCAATGTAAAAATAGCCTTTCTTTAGTAAGGCAGCTTTGATGTCTAACATTATATGAACACTATAATCGTCTAGAACATAAATCCCATAACTTTGATGTGTAAAAATATTGTGTTGAAACTTCACATCTTTAGGAGGATTAAATTTAACGCTAACACCTTTGCCTTTAAACACAAATTCTGGTTTAATTGAGATTTTAGGGTCACTGCAAACTTGAGTGTAAACAGTAATTCGTTCTCTTGAAAGAGAATAATTTTCTTTGATGTATGTGTCCAAACCAGTAAAATTCAAGATCTTTTGGGTAGAACTTTCATTTCGGTGGAGTGGCCTTTGGTCACCATTCAGCGCAGGTGGATCAACTCCAAAATTTTCAATAAAGTATTTACGTACAGTCCAAATGTTTTTTAGGTACTCAAATATTCTTTCTTCATTGTCAGCCTGCATTATTTGAAAGCGTTTGTTAGGATGACGCAGACTGACACCATGCTCAATCATCTACTTATTTAACCAAGGGTTTGAGAAGACAATTTTCTTGTTCTCTGGCACCTCTTCTGGTTGTTGGGCAAGCCACTGTTCATAAAAAAGTTTGCGTTGTGCTGTGAACAATTTCCTGGGTAAATGTGCTTCAAGGGTTCCACGGATGTCCACAAACCACTCGAATAAAAATTATCTGACGTCTGGGATGGTTAATTTTCGTCCTCCTCCTGCTTGAGGATACTTTGATTTGCTTGGAGGAGCAGTTACAGCATCTTCATCTGCCTTAACTTGGTTTAGACATCTTTTCCCAAGATTTAGGGCTTTTGTTAAGGTTGGATTATCATGCTTAATGTCTTTAAGGTCCGAATAAAACTCTCTTACAGCTCTTGCGAGGTATCCTTCGCGTGGCAATGTTTTAACGTGTTTCTTTTTTTTTCACTAAAGTTGACTATTTGAAAGTTTTCAGCAATCGATAAATCGTTTTCTTTTTTGTAACTCTTACAAAGTTTACCTAAAGCATTTTTTTCTTTTAAACTGTATTTATCTCGGTCAGTTCTTGAAATTTTCCGATCTGACGCCATGTTACAATATAAATACTTTTTTAAAAAATTTTAATTTCAAACCAATATTTTTTACAAAGCATGCATAAAACTATTTATGCATGTTCAAGTCAAATGCGCATTTGACTTGTGGTCAAAAGCGCATTTTCTAACAGCTGTTAGGGTAGGGTTAGGCTGTTTTATCATAATTTCAATAGGATTTAATATGCTGATATAGGTTTTATACTTTGCAAAGTATAAAAATTATATTCAGCAAATTAAATCCTATAATTAAAACCAAAGGTTTGTTGAGAAATAAACTAAAAGTTCATTTTTAGCAAATCGAGAATTAAAGGTCGACAATTTGTAAAACCTGTTTACACTGAAAGTTTTTGTTTTTATTGGTGACAGAAAATTATTTTCAAATTTTTAAGGCTGATTTTCACTGGATTTTTTTTTTTACTTTTGAAATATATAATTTTTTTGTTGATAACAAGTAAAAATTAATAAACGCCTTAATAAGCTTAGGGTGGACGGGAAAAATATCCAAAAATTAAGAACTCAAGAGTATATATGTATGTATGTATGTATGTATGTATGTATGTATGTATGTATGTATGTATGTATGTATGTATGTATGTATGTTAGTTTATTTTGATAATCAAAATTATTTTAAATATTTTGCACAACATACTTTTCATTGAAGCACTAATAACATTACGGTTAGTCAATTTTCCTATTATAAACTTCTCTGAGCCATCTTCATTCAACATTGCCCATTTTACTGTGCTTATAGGTTGTGAATAAAAAATCTGCCAATCAAGAAATGCATCTGTTTGAAACTTGAAACATATAACTCCTCCCAAAGGTTTTGTGATTCCTCCATATACTAGTAAAAAAATTATTACTAATATTTACTAGTTACTACTACTAAGTAACTTATAAAACACAGATATGTAGTAAAGTAAACTAGCAAAAAAACTTATCTTAAGAATAAATTATTATAATTATTATAAAAAGTTTAAAACACACTAATTATTACATTACAAGTGTTTATAACTAACTTACACACATAAATTAAAACAAACTTACACACATAAATCATAACAAACTTACACACATAAATCATAACAAACTTACACACATAAATTTTTAATATAGATTCTGTTTCACCGGCAGATGTATTTGAAACACACTTATAGACCTTAAAGTTTTCATCAAGACTTAGTCTGATCAATAGACTACTGCTTTGGATATAACCTAAATCACTTGAATTTATAACTGGACCAAAATCCACCTGATTAGATATTGTAATGTTATCTCTATACCATTTCACTGTCATCAAATCATATCCTTGCACAATGCATGTTAACTGAAGAGAAGTATCCATAGATACCGATACAGCTGGTAACCCATCAATAATAATTGTAGAAACATTTGAGGTGAGATTAACAAAAGGCTTGTCTAAATTATTACAGTTTAAATTTTTTTTAACAAAATTTTTTCTAAAAACATGATAGTTATCAAAACTGCAAACTATAAATAAACATTAGATTTAAAAATAAATTAAAAAACTCACAAGGAAATTTTAACACAGCCTTCACACTTATGTTTCGATCAAAGCCATTAATGGAATCACATTGAAGCTCTCCAAAAAAATCCCAAGATAAACTTATTTTAATTGTGCTAGTAATTTTCCAGTAATTATATAAAAACTCTTCCAATAATGTTTGATTTGTTGTTGCTAGCAGCTTATTTTTGACCGACCATTTAATAGTTGGTTTAGGAAACCCAATAACAATACAGTAATATGTGTATATAGAATTATCTGAACTAAGTACAGCATTAGCAAGGTTTGTTGCAGCAAGCTGTGGTGAAACTAAAATTATTAAACATGTATGAATTATTACTTTATTTTTTAAAACTTTATAAACATTAAAAAAATAAACTAAAACATAAAACATTTCTTTTGTAAAAAATTGTCTTTGTAAAAAAAAGATTTGTCAACAATAATTGGTAAAAGAGAATTGGAGTGTAACATCACATTAATAATTATAGAAATTAATAATTAAATTAATAATTACAGTGATATGTTAACAATTATGGTAAGATACGTGTAAATACAGTTGCTCTAGGATGCTTATATTGTGGAAGGGCAGGTAGGGAAAGTTGTTAGGGGCAATCAACTCAACAACTTTTTAAATTATCAAAATAAAAATACTAAAATGTTTCAATTTTTTCAATTTCAGCAACTAGGTAAAAAGTGCAAACCAACAAGATATTTAAATTTGTTTTGAATTAAAAAGTATCAAGTATAGTAAACTTTTTAATTTACTTTATTTATAAACTTTTTATTTTTTTTAATTTACTTATAAATTTTATATTTATAATTTAATTATGTATACATTTGTATATACATTTTAAAATGTATATATAATTTATATATACATTTTCAAACTGTTATATCAACTACTATATTAAATATAATTAAATAAGGTTTTCTCTATATTATAGCATGTAAAATATTGGCATAAAGTTAAAATAAAACTTCCCAAAGATAAAGATTCCCAAAGATTCCCAACCTATAAGCACAGTAAAATGGGCAATGTTGAATGAAGATGGCTCAGAGAAGTTTATAATAGGAAAATTGACTAACCGTAATGTTATTAGTGCTTCAATGAAAAGTATGTTGTGCAAAATATTTAAAATAATTTTGATTATCAAAATAAACTAACATACATACATACATACATACATACATACATACATACATACATACATACATACATACATACATACATACATACATACATACATACATACATACATACATACATACATCATAGTACTTTATTACACTTACTTACAAAACAAACACTCTACCACTGCACTAATTCCACCTTTTTGTTTATAAAATTGTCTATTGTTTGTCTAATTGTCAATTTTATTATGACTGGTACTTTTAAACAATTTTTATTGTGATTTTAACAACAGTTTTAAATTATTTAGTTTTAACAACAAAAAAGTGTGGTTTCTAGAAATAGCTTCTAGAAATTCTCTCCTTATGCAAGATGAGAGTTTTGCGTTTTAAAAATTTAAGATTTGAAATCTGATAATGCTATTGACAATACAATTATTCATAACTTGGTTAATACTGCCTTGTCAAATGCTATTCCACTGTGCTCTGTAATAAGAGCATAAAGACTTCTTGAAACACCTAAATAACTTAAAAAAATATACATATATTATATGATATATTTTAAAATATATAGCTGTAATAATATATATTGTTTCTATGATAAATTTTATTGTCATTATCAGGCCGCAAATCTTAAATTCTGAAAACACAAAATTCTTCTGTTTAAATCTCATAAATATGTATTGATCTGTAATGCGATGATGTAATGCGATGATTTATGATGTAATGCGATGTATAATACATGATATCATATGTTAGTAGTATAGTAATAGTGTTGTAACCACCATGTCCAAGGTGGTTACAAGGTGGTTACAAGGTGGTACAGAATTTCTTGACAAATAATCTTGTTTGTCAAGATTTTGGAATTATAGGAATAAGTGAGAGTTTCTAACAGTTGTTACTTTCACTTATGTTACAAAATATGAATCTTGTTTGTCAAGATTCATATTTTGGAATTATAGGAGTAAGTGAGAGGTAATAACAGTCAATTAAAAAAAAGTTACGAAGTGAAAAAAAATGTTATGAAATGTTATGAAAGTACAGGATTCTAATGACATATAATTACTGAAACAAAATCCTTGAAATTACTGCAACAGTTTAGATCATTGTATTGAATAACAGTTTAAATCCTTGTATTAAATGTTGAAAACATAATAACTTACAAATCAATTGAACATTAACAGCTACTGTGACATTGCCCAAAAAATTGTAACCAATGCATTGATAAACTCCACTGTCATTTATTACAGTTTTTTCTATATATAAATTATTAATTCGAAATGAAACAGTTTTATTTGAAAGAACTTCTGTAATTTTTTGGTCAAAAACAGTTTTTGGTCCATTAAGCTTCATCCACATACTATTTTGTAACAAAGGATCACCATAAATGCGACATGGAATGTTTAGAGAATCTCCCAAACTGATTGTAATATCAGATAAGTTGTCACCCCAAAATTGTGGCACAACTATAAAGTAAATAATAGTCTAAATACTAATCAAGTAATATAAATACTATAAATTTATATTATACTATATTATACTATATTACAGGTTATATACATATTATATATATATATATATATATATATATATATATATATATATATATATATATATATATATATATATATATATATATATATATATATTTATACATATATATATATATATATATATATATATATATATATATATATATATATATATATATATATATATATATATATATATATATATATACAGTAGCTTTCATAAATTTAGACGCATTCATTTTTTTTTTCATATATGTAAGAAAATACTCAAAATAAAAATAAAATAAAAGTGCTACCGCTATGTTTGATATATAATTTAAAAGAGGAAGTAAAACTCTATTATAGAGTACCTTCATTTTTTTTACAGGATGTATATTTCTCATTCTATACCGATTAACACAAAAAAGTTAATTGATAAGCTTGATTTTATTTTGTTCATAAATTTAGACGCACAATCAAAAAAGTCTTATATCTTGTTAATTGATAGTTAATTAGTAGGTTTTTCCCATATTTCTAATTAATAGGCCTTAATTGATTTTGTCAAAAAACCTTATATAAATATGACTTACCTGGAATTAGTTAATCATTATTTAATAAATAAACAAAAGTTAAGTTAGTTTTTCACTAAAAAGACGCGAAAAATGGGCGAAAGACGTATCACTCAAGGTGAAAGATGGCAAATTATTGCCCACATCAAAGAAGGAACCAAAAGTAATAGAGAAATTACCAAGTTAATTGGATTTTTTGAGAAATGCGTTCGGACAATGAAACAAAACTTTCTTCACACTGGTGGTGTCAGCAAGAAAACGAGGCCAGGTAGACCCTTGTCAACCACCAGAATGGACAACAGTGTTCGTTTTAGAGCGGTCAGAGCTAATCCAAGAATTAGTTACAAAAAATTGACCACAGAATTCAATACAACGCGAAATACATCTATTTCTCAAAGCATAGTCCGCCAAATACTTATCAAATACAAGATTGGAGTCTACACTGCTTTGAAGAAACCGCTTCTGCGTCCATATGATAAACAAAGGAGACTAAAATGGTGTCGTGAAAGAAGGTATTTGACAATAGAACAATGGGAAAACATTATGTGAAGTGATGAGAGTAACTTTAAGCTTATCAATTGCAAATCTAACATAACAGTCAAAAGAATGGCTCACGAAAAGTATTACGCCAGGTACATTAGACCGACTGTACAAAGTGGAGAAGGCTCGATAGGAATCTGGTCATGCTTTAATTACAAAGGTGTTGGTATGTGTCAAACATACACCGGAAGAATCAACTCCAGAATATACGTAGAAGTACTGGAAAACAACCTAATTCCATCAATTGACCTGCTTATGCTCAATGATAAACCATAGAAACTTCAACAAGATGGCGCTACTGCACATACTGTATACTATACAAAGGAGTGGTTCAACAATAATATCATGACAATACTGTAGCCTCCATACTCACCTGATTTGAACTCGATTGAAAACATTTGGGCTTGGATTGACTGTGAATTAGCAAAGGTTCAAATTTCCACACTTGGTCAGCTGAAGGAATTCCTTAAGGAGACCTGGTATGGGGTCCTAGAAGCGATGCGCAAAAATCTTGTTGAGTCTATGCCTAGAAGAGTTCTTAGTTGTATTAAAGCAAAAAGCGGATACACAAAATATTGATTGGTTTATAAATTATGCCTTCTAATGTATCGTGCGTCTAAATTTATGAATAATTTTTTTTGTCTAATTTTTTTAATACCATGTAGTTGTACCTAATTATTACTTAGTATTTAATTTTTTTTTGTAAACTTTTTTTAAATTTTGTATTCTGTATGTATTTATCTAATAAATAGAAAAAAAACTTAACCGAAATCTTTTTTCGTCATTGTTTTATCGTTAAAAAACTAAAAATTTCTATTCTCAAATATGAGTGCGTCTAAATTTATGAAAACCACTGTATATATATATATATATATATATATATATATATATATATATATATATATATATATATATATATATATATATATATATATATATATATATATATATATATATATATATATATATATATATATATATATAAAAATATATATATATATGTATATATATATATATATATATATATATATATATATATATATATATATATATATATATATATATATATATATATATATATATATATATATATATTGTTTTGGCGTGTGTATATAACACAGAATTCAAAATAAGAAATATTTCATTTCAAGTAAAGTTAAATTTTTTTTTTTGGACACAACAATAAGAACTCAACTAAAATAATAAAGTAAAAAAAAAACTTTTAAAAACACTTAAAAAAAATTTATATAACTAAAATAAATTTTTTACAGTTCACATCTTATAAATATTACATTAAAAGTTTTTTGGTTTAAAATCTTATTGACAAGTCAGCTGATGAGAAACATACTGATGAAAACCAAAAATGAATTACTTGCTACTATTTATAGAAATGTTTCATTCTAAGAACTAAAACTTAAAATACTACATCTATTTCATCTATTTTAGTAAATATAAGTAAATCTCTTTTTAAATAGTTAAAAACTGCTAAAAGCGATTCTTGGTCTTCCTGGAATTTTGTCATTGGAATTCCTGGAATTTCATTTTTTAAAGCTAAAATAAAAAATACCTTATAGCTCCTTAAAACATTTTTTAAACAAACGATATTTAGTTGCACATTTTTAAATTTACATTTTCTTATTTGAGTTAAACTTTTATACTTCATATTTTTTTAAATTTTTTCTTCTAGTTTTTGTGTGCATTTAAGTTGCAATCAAACTCATAATATTCAAATTTAAAATTTAATGAATTCTGATTTTAATATTTGAATTTTGTTTTCAAATGTTGTTATTTTCAAATTTGTAAGCATTGCTCTAATTCTTATTTATTTTAAGTTAAAATGGTGGATTTTTTAAACTGCAAACTAAAATTATATCAATTTCTTACATGGACAAAAAGTTTGGTATTTCTTGGGAAAAAAAAGAACAGTATACATGCAGGTCTTATTGCTGCAAGATTTGAAAGTTTACCTACAACAGTCAAAAAGTCAGTTCATAAATTAGTTGTAAATTACATTTAAAAAACCAAAAATAAATTTAATTACTGCCAGAAAAAAAAATCTTTTGATAGATATCACTAGATAACATCCACTATCTATTATCAAATCAAATACGAAAAACATGACTGTCAAATAAAAGTCAAATAAGTAAAACACGACTGCACTAAAGCTCATAACTTTTGTATTTCTCAATCGTGTACTCAGATAGTAAGATTTCTGATTCATTTTCCGGACAATCATAATCACATACCTAAACTCTTTGATTTGTATCTTCTTATTGACCAAGCTAGCGTTCACTTTCTCCTTCTTCTCCTTTAGGCTGTTCAGACCATGCTATGACATTTTTTAAACTAATCCTTGTTTCTTCTTCAACCTTACTCTATTATCAGACATCTCACTACTACTATTATCCTAACAGATTCCTTTAATATTTTTTTTTGGTAATGGTTCTGGGGCTGATGTCTTTCCTCTCTCCACAGATCATTGTATCTATTACATATTATTATCTCCTTGATTCAGGCAGATATGGGAACTTATATTCCTTCTCATAGGTTGTTTTTATTTTGTGCAAATTTTTTTTTTGTGGTATTGGTTTTGGGGCTGATGTCTTTCCCTCTCTCCAAAGATCATTGTACCTATTACATATTATTATCTCCTCAATTCAGGCAGATATGGAAACTTAATTTCCTTCTCATAGGTTATTTCATTTTATGCAAATTCTATATTTAATTGTAATTGTTTTTCTCATCTTTTTTACAAGAACAAACATTTTTTTTTTCCACAAAAACAAACATTTTTTTATTTTTTATTTCTTTTTGTTCTCTCTTGAGAACAAATGGCTTTTTCAGAGAAATCAATGTAAATAAGTGCATTGATATATCTTACTATATTCAAATTTTGTCCTAGAAACTAGGTTCTAGAGACTTTTGGAAAAAATTTTATGACTTTATCAATTAAAAAAGTCTAACATTTTATCTGTAATACACGGTTCTAATCTTATTAGAAGAAAGAGATAAGACAGAATTATTTGCAAATAATTTGCCCAAGGATAAGACAGAATTATTTGCAAATAGCTTTTCTTTTATTTTATCCCTTGAACCCATGGTCCCCACAAAGAGAGGATGGGATGGTGGTACTGTAGCACTAGGGCCCTAAGGCAAAGGTGGTAATAAAAAAACTGGAAAAATATTAAATCCAAGTAAAATGTTATTGTTTTGACTTTAAAAAAAAAACTTTAAATTTAAAGAAAAGAAAAACTTTTAAAAATTGAAAACAAACAGAAATTAGTTTAGGTAACCTACTTGTTTTTTTACTTATTTCACATATATTGTTGTTTTAACAAGGTGAAAGAATTCAATTCATTCGACCAATTGCCAAACATTATTCTGGCATATTTGTTGTGTTAGATGTTTTTCTTTAGGGAAATGTTTTAGAACTAATACCTTTAGCACAGAACAAAAAAATACTTGAAAAAATACTTCACAACTTATAAAAGTTTATTATGACTAGTTTTTGGCACAAAATACTATCAACAATAAGAACATCGTCATAACAACTATCAACAATAAGAACATTGTCATATAAAGCAAAGGGATATCCCTTGATGTTGAAACAGCCTTAATCTAAGATTTAGTAAAAGAAATAATTTATATACGTGACTTATGGGAAAGTATTGTTCAAGTTATTGCACAAGTTATTGGAGTACAAGCTCAATTTCCTACAAAAAGAAATTTTTTTATGAACCAAATCAATATTTCAAAACTTCCGTAGTTTACCCAGTGTTGGATTTTATAATTAATGATTTGAGTACACGATTTGAAGAAGCCAATACAATATGTGATTTATTCTCA